TTATGAATATCTGCCATGGTGACAATCCTGACTTAGAGTTCTGTGTCCTTTGCTTGTTTCTTCACTGGGAATTCAGGTGGAGATTTTGTGAACAGGCGCCTAAGACATAAGCTTGTGGGACTGGGCTGCTACATTGTGCTGTAACGATCTACCTTCAAAGGAGAGATTATAGTCATGTGAACTGGCTGCAGCTTTATATTGCATTTTGCATTTTGGTATGTTGACCGCTTCATTGGAAAACGCAGAGCTCGGAAGAACAGAACACTTACCTTTTTCTCCCTTTAGTGGCAGACATTGAAATTAAAAAGGCACCCATTCTTTCCTTTTTCTATTTTTTATGATGTTACAGTAATCTTCTAGAAAGTTATTTTCTGCCTGGACTTTCTTGATAGTCTTTTATGAAAGTATGAATACACTGTTTTCATTTTTTACTCTTCTTTCCATCCAACTCACGTTGAAGATTGAAGCCATCTTTGATCAAAAAGATTTGAGGATTACTTGTAATGCATCAAAATTTGTATGTAGATAAATTTGCCGAGTTGCTGTGTTTTAGTCAGGTGTAAAAGTAAGATAATAAAAGAAATAAAGTATATACAGTGTTAGAAAAGAATGGATGATATACTGAGCTTTCTTTTTCACAGAATAGTGCCGGTTTTAAAAAGGAATACAATGTAAAATAATCATGTTTTAATTTATGTCAGGAGAGCATTGACGAAAGTTCTTTAGTCATAGCAGTTGCTGCAGTAGTATTGTGGGATGTTATAAACATGAAATCGCTTTACAAATGGCTTTTTATAGATACTTGTGCTGTAATTGCAAAAACAGGGGGCAGTTGTACTCATTATACTTCCAAATTTGCAAGTGAGATTGTTTTGTACCTGTTTTTCTGTACACATTGTGGAAATCTCCAGCCTTACAACTTTTTAATTGTTTACTGGTACTACACACTTGAGTGGATTAGAAGTACAGCGTTGGTCTGGTAGTGTGTGTGCAGTGACAGGCCGATCTGGCTGACTGAGATGTGTTCGACGGGAACCTGATGTAGGGGCCATTACCAGTGTAATGGTGAAGCGGAGCAGGCAGTTCTGGTCAGACCTAGCACAACTCCCATGCTAGGCAGTACATGTAAGAAAGATTGGAAGAAGAGGGTATGCAGCAGGATTTTTCAGTGTGTCTTTTGGTGCTGTGACTAATGAAGTGCCATTGAGTCTCGCTGCAAATGCATGCACTTTGGTCAGCAGAGGCTTTACAGGTCTTATCTCCCTGTGCCAGCGTTTCTGAATGTGGGCCTCAAGCTGAAATAAAAGTTCTGTAGCGAGCCCAGGTCTCCTAGGGAGCTAGTTTGTGTCCGAGCTCCCTGTCACAAGGGATTATTATTGCTCAATCTGCTAATAATGTGGCAGTCTAATCAGGTTACTTTACCTCTGCATGATGATGCATTAAGGCTTGATTCTTCTTCCTTAGAAGAAAATAACAAAATTCCCACTGTGTTCTGAGAAGGAAAGATTGGGTCTGCAGTTTGCTTGTTGTGTCAAAAGAGACTCACTCCTTTATCTTTTAGTATGAGAAAGAAATAGAGATTTTTAACGTAACGAAGACAAAGCTAGTAAGACATCATGAAAATCTAGCTGTTTTGTTTGATTTAGAAAGTAATTCTGAAAATGTTTATGCTAAATCAGATTATTGATAGCTTAATTCAGTGACAGAATAACTTTCTAAATGTTATTCTAACTGAACCATGTACTGTTCAGCATCAGGTCAGTTTAAGATTAATTTCAGATTTTTTTAAAAGGAGATTTTATGTAAGAAAAGAGATACCATCTTTATTTGTTCATTTCAGTTGTGGAAAAGCCCAGAGAAATATTATATTCTCCAGTAAATGTGATAATAAAAATTTCCCTTCTGTGTTTTCATCTGACACATGACATCATTTGACTTATGAAAAGGATGAGTGAAACTGCCTGGAAACCAGAATCAAATCAGTTGATCAAATTCCATAGTATAGTATAGTAATGATGTGGGAACCTAAAATACCATTTTAGAGGTAGAAGTGCTAAAGTTCAATGCTGTAATACAAAAAAAGAGCTTGTTCAGTGGTGTGTGTTTAGCCAAACTCTGCTGGCAGTTACCTTTACTAGCTATCTCCCTATTCAGTCTTCACTCGGGAGCACTGACATCTACACCTCGCTCAGGCTGAGTGGTTTGGTGTCCGTCTTCTGTGCAGGTGTGATTTGGAGCAGAGAGACAGGCTTCTGTGTGTGTCTTGGAGTGTGTTCCAGGAGTGCTGAGCACAGAAGGTCAAGCTCCTTGCACAAACCAGCCAGGACCACATTTTGAACATTTGCACCTGAGGGTAGTGTCTGGTGAGGTAGGACTCCTCGTTTGGATTAGTACTGACCCTTTTTGTACAGAGAACAGCTATATCTCACAGTCGGAGACCACCTTTGGATTTGTGATGTATCCTGAAGGATTATCCTGCATCCTTGATGCAGTCTGGCCAGTGATACTTAAATCAGTTAGAAAACCAGTACTGGTAGACCAAGCACCATCCTGCTGAGCATGCCTCCCACATTTTCTCAAGCCCTGCAAGTATTGCAGGTCTATACAGTGATAGCACTGTTGATAACATCCTGCTTAATGGCAGGTTAATGAAAGGAAAATTGATATGAAACTGTGTTAGGAAGGAAAGTCTAAAGCCCAGTTTATTCTGAAGTGTAGTAATGCAGTGTTTAATGTATGACAGGGCAGAATGATGCAATTTCTGTTGGAATTGACTCATCTGTGAGAACTCCAGATAAATCATTGCTACCCTGCAAGTTACTATATCTAAATTAATACAGATATGACCTGTTAAAACTTTTTAATAAATACTGATTGATGGCTTGTGCCTTTTTGACTGAAAATATCTTTGCTTATTACAGTTAGAGAAGGTTAAATACAGAGAAAAAATTGTTTCATTTTAACGTACTCCCAGAACTTACTACTAATTACAGGAACTGAGAAGCTAGCTCTAATTTACATGAGTGGAACACAAGGAAAATAGAAGTTTGAATTGTGACTAAAAGTAGTGGTTGAAACATCAGATGCTGTGGCTTGTAGTCCCAAGGCTGCATTAGGACTGCTAAAATGCTTCAATTGAACGTATTTGAATGTGTTTGCATTCTGGTTCTAGCTAAGCATCTCAGTCATAACTAAGAGCTACTGAACCATAGCTGGAGTCAAAGAGGATGCAGTCCTTTGAAGAGTTTATGACCTAAAAGACAAAATAGATAAAAAGAGGCCTGAACAGACTGTCATTTAGCCCAGATATACACAATACAGTACTAGGATTTCTCTTTGTCTTAACAACTCTACCCATTATACTGTTTTGTGTATAGCTCATATACTTAATTGGACTGGTATCACACAAAACAAAGGCTGATAGTAGTTCTGTCACATGCCAGAAGGAAGGTTTGTAGGACCCTGAACTCTTCCAGTGTCAGTGGTGAGCACGAAGCAATCAGGAGCCACTAGGCTCTGCTTGGGCTGTCTGCCAGAGCTGGAGCTGCTGAGAGGAGACAGTAACAGGAGGGAGAGGGAAGGTGAGAAGTCAGTGAAGGAGCCTGGGGAATGGGTGGAAGGAGGTTAGAAAGGAATTTGGTAAGCAGCTGGAGTGAAGTTCAACTTCTGAATCCTTGGAAACTAGTGAGAAAGGTAGTTGTCCTGTTGGCCACAAGGCTGGTGACAGTACTTGTGGTGGAGGAGGTTGTAGTTATGTTGTTGTGAAGTCTCATCTTGATAAGCAGTAGGCTGGGTTCCAGTGGCTTAATGTCTTTCCTTCTGGTCTGCCACTGAAGCAGCCGTGAGGTGCTTGATCTATCCATTACTGTGCTGACAATATAGTAATACCTTGCAGTGGTTGGCTATGCGCGAGTTCATCAGAACGTGATACAGACTTTGTCCTGTGGACCAGATGTTGCAGCAAGTCCATAAGCAAAAGCTGAAGGGTCTCCTGTATCTTGGAGTAATTTCAGATTCTCATCAGTTAGCAGTTCTTGATTAGACTTCTCGTTTATTCCCTTTTTAGGGCTTTCATGGAGCGTAACACAAAATCTAAATCCCTATTAAGACCCTTAATTGTGTGGATGGCTTTGCACATACTAGTTTTGTCTCATGTGATTAGTGAAGAATTTCTCAAAGAGCATTCCTCCCAAAAATGTTATGGTTGCCTTCAGTATGGCAGCTGCAAGCAAGTCAATCTGTCTTTTCAAATGATGTATTTTTCTTTTAAGACAATGAATATTCAAATGGAGACATATTTGTGTCTGTACATACATGTTTGAAACAGCAGACCTTTTAAAATGGATTTGGTAACAGATTTTCAGATGTTTCAGGTCGGTTTAATAATTTCCCGTTTCTAAGGAACTATCTAAAGCATCAAAGCTTTTAAGAGGTGAGCATCTCTCCTTTGAAAAAATGGCTGTGCTTATTCTTCATCAAGGAATGTATACAGGAAAATAAGTCACCCTTGCTTTTGATGCACTAGATCCATCCTATATATCAAAGTCTTAATTGCTGCATGACTTTCAGAAGTGGTCTGAAAAACCTAATCTACTTTGTTTAAAACATTTTTAATGAATTCAAGTACAGCTGTTAAGTCAGGAAGTAATGGAATTGGGCTCCTAAATTTTATGTAAAGTGCCTACCCCATTATGCCTGCTAAGAAGAATCTTGTTACGCCATCAAAATATGAGCAATTAGCCTATCAGTATTTAGGAAATAAGGAAACAAAACCAAAAATTAAACACAAGCAAGTGACTGAAATGTGTTCTACGTAAATGTTTAAGACCAAAAAGTAAATTTAATTTCTGTAATGTGAAAGTGGTTTAACATCCCTTTCTCCTCTTTTACTCCTTTTGTCGAATCATTGAGATAAGCAGAAGCAAACCAAAGCATATGGTTTCTGAATTTTCTTCTGCATAATAGTATAAAATTTTTGTTTGTTTGTTTTATGTTTCCACAGATACTTTCAGTAGGACAAACATTCAGAAACAGAAGTTCTTACTCTTGATTCCCTGGTATCAAGGACTCATCAGGGACCATCTTCAATCTCTTTCTTCACTATTTTTGTCTAAGCAGAGGGAGAGCTTTCTTCAGCGCTTGTTCATCTGTCTCAGCTGAACTTGACTTCCCTACTGTTTTTGCTCATACTACAAATGCCTAAGAACAGCAAGGTAGTGAAAAGAGAACTAGATGATGAGGTCATTGAGTCAGTTAAGGACCTTCTTTCTAATGAAGACTCTTCAGATGATGCCTTTAAGAAGAGTGAACTTATGGTTGATGATCAAGAAGAAAAAGATGTAGATGTTGAAGAAGGCTCAGATGTAGAAGATGAAAGACCTGCTTGGAACAGCAAACTTCAGTATATTCTGGCACAAGTTGGATTTTCTGTGGGATTGGGGAATGTGTGGCGATTCCCATATCTGTGTCAGAAAAATGGTGGAGGTAAGTCTGGTGAAAGTTAGTAGATAAATGATGAAGTTAACCTTTCAGATTTCAAGGTTAGCAGAGATACCCACAGTAAAACCAGATCCAGCATGTCAAGATTTTCTTTCAATTTCTGCCAGAGTTATGAGGAAAACCCCATATTCTCTTTATTTAGTGAGACACATCTGTTAAAGTAAGTAGCAGATTCTTCTAAGGTTCCGTTTCCTTATTTTAGGATAGAACGTTCTCAGTATGGCCTTAACTAGTGGTCATAGTAGTGGTTAAGCAAAACACATCATTATGGTGGGGTTGCATTATTTAGGACCTGATTATTATTGTGCTAAACTGTTCTTTATAGTACTTGGACAATAAATCAAGGCATTAAATCTGCATTCCCTTAAAAGACCAAAGCAGTATTTGGTCTTTAGTATTTAGCGGTACTAAGCTTCACACCTTTACTTTTTAATTACCTTTAGCTCCTAAGCCATTAAATCATAATTTGCTTTCTGCAAGAACAACAAAATACTGTAGGAGTGAAAAGGACTTTTTTACTGATAATGAATAATTTAAAAACATTTACATTAAGAGAATACATCTGTTTTGTGCTGTTACATGGTTAACTATTTTCATAAATAAGAAAACCTTTCACTTAAAACAATAACATCAAGCTGTTTATTTGTTAGCTGTCCATCTATGGTCTTGAATGTAGTATGAAATATGAGGCTGGAGACCTTCCTTTATGAATGCAGGATTAGTGTTTTATCCTATGCTGTACTGTACCCTAGTATATTACGTTATTGCACATCCTATTGTAGCTAATTACTTGGCTGAATTTAAAACAAACCTTTTACTTTTTATGATACAAAAGGGGGAAACTGTGCTACAGAACAGAAGATAAAGAACGACGTTTTATTCTTGCTGGATTTTAAAGTTGAATGGTAAAACTGATGTAATTAAGGAGTATAGAAATGAGTCTAGAATATAATCAGATTATAATTTGGAACTTTGTTTTCTCTCATTCAGTTCAAGCAGTAAAAATGAAGTCTATACTTTTGGATATTCCATCTCCAGGATAAAGCCTAAATTCTTTAAATCTAGTTAAAAGATTTTTTTTTTTCTTGACTCATTGAGCTTCTTTTTATTTTTTTTCTTCTTTATTCTGGAGAGAAAGTCATTAAATGGTTGATTTAATAATTTATATGGAATCTAAAGTTTACAGGTTTGTTTTGTGTTGTTGTGTCCCTTTCAAAAGCCTGTTTTAAAATAGTTACTAATGTCATTAGATTCTCCTTTGAACCAACAGAAAAAATCTGTTGGTATGCTTCTTAACCTGGTGGATTCATACTGTCCAGTACTTCTAAAGTTAATCTGTCAGTGAGTGTTAATTTAATTCAGATAAAATATAAAGTATTAAAGTAGTTAATAATTTCACGATTTAGGAAAAAACCCAACCCAACCTTCAGGGATTATGGCACTTCATTGATCAAACCTGATAAAATAAATATGCAGTCATTTCAGGTTGAAATTAAATGCTTTCACCTGTCCTGTGATTGCAGGAACTTGGATATCTGACAGTCTGTGGAGACATAATGTTTTCTGCACATGGCTGAGACAAGGATGTATTTGGCTTTTAACAATAATTTTATCACTACTTTAGGAAATTGCAGCCTTCAGAACAACAGAGAACAGAAAGTGATTTTTAGAGCTAAAGCTTTTTGGTTTTCATGTTAGCTGTAATGCAAGATGGAGAAGGTGACCCAAAATATTGAAACATGTAAAGTACATTGGTGCCTGTGTATGTGTGCACAGATGGACAGATAATTCTCACAGGTGTGTGAAGGTATAGGGAAAAGGAGGGAAGGAAAAGTTCAGAGTCAGGGTAAAAATACTCCACATATTTTATATGAGGTTCCAGTTTTCTGCTACATGTTATTTCATATATGTTTCATTATGGGTAAAATTCGAGTGTTTTTATGCAAGCCATTGTAAATACCAGCGTCAGAACTGTTCCGTAGTCTTGCTGAGAAAGCTGTACTATAAATACTCCTTGAAGTCTCTGAGTATGAGGTAAACAGTCGTTCTGTGAATTTTCATGAGGTGTATGGCTAGGTCTTCACCTTCAGTCTTGTCCAAACATTTTTAATTTTCTTCCTATGTTTAAGCAACTTATATCAAACAAATACCACTACACGAGGGAGTATATGAAAAAAATGGTAAGCCAGTAAATCTACTCCAAGTTCATGTTTTTTACTTCTTTTTGTTTTAGTTACTCATTAGATTCCTTCACAGGTGTCTTCCAGTATTAGGTGATCCAAAGCCATCAATAAAAGAGAAGACAAATCCTAACCATGTAATAATCGTCAATTTTGCCTTTTTTAAAAAAACAAAACAGGCAAACTTCTGTGACATAAACAACAAAAGCAACAAAATTAAAATAGCAAAGACAGAGAAAAGTTAGCCCAAATAGATGTATATTATTAGAAGGTTCTGTGAAGGAAAGACAGGGTGTTTACCGCCCTGATTCTGGAGGGATTGGGTTTGTTCATGGCTATGACCTGTGGTATATCAACGCTTCTGACTTCAAGGCTCTGTACTGCTACAGTGAGGTGCCTGCGGTACCATCGCTAACTTGCGCATCGCTGCCCTGCACTGATACTTGGCTGTCCGTAGGTACTTCCTAATCTTTATTTCCAGGTCTGGTATGTACCACCAAAACAACTGCTTTTGCTTTCTGTCTTGTGATGCTTTAACAGATTTCCTGTTGCTTTAATTCATATAAACTCATAAATATTTAGAGTAATATCTTGTATTTGTTATTCTCATTTAAGGTACAGCTAGACTGGGTAGCTCTTTGCTGGCTTTCACACCTGGCCCTTTCCCACAAAAAAACATGAGAGAAGCGTGTAGTATGTAGCAGGGATGAACTTCTGAACAGCTGGGATGTAATGCAGGAAGTGTCGAGAAAGAGAATGGTTCGGGAGAGACTGGGAGCACTCCAGGGTGCTCGTTTTCTTGACTTGGGATGAGAGGGAGTGCTCAAAGGAATTTTCAGGCTCTGCAAATGAGAGGCTGAAGGTGTTCAGTAAAGTTTAGAGGAAATTACTGTAGATTTCTCTGCCTTCAGCTCTGTCCTCACCACAGGTCCCGCTTGACCCTGGTAGGCAATGCTCAGTCCCCATCTGGCAATTAAGGCACCTCTTCCACTCCCTGCAGCCTAGCAGATAAAAAAGGCTGTTTCTTTCATTTGTACCTCACAAAGGTGATTTGCGTTGGAGCTGCGTATGATCAAATTTAGCTTTAAAGATTTTTTACATTTCTCATTGTTACACTATAGGGTTTATATATTACTCATTTATTATACGAAGACAAATAATGTATTTGTTTAGATAGACATGGTTCCTATGTAACAATTTCATAATTTTTGTTAGCATGCAATAGGTTCAAAGCTGCCTCAACTTCCTATGATTGATAGTGAGCCTTAAAAATAAACTGCTCAGGTCTACCCAGTCATGCCGTGAGGCTGATAAATAGTGACAAACTAGACCTATATTTTTCTGCTGCTCATTGCTATTATCTGGTGAATAGCTTGCACGCCTTTCACTGTTTTCAAACAAAGGAAATATTTAAAGTTTAATCTGTTAGGTTTTTGTTTTCACTTAGGATTAGCAGAATTAAAATGGCATTTTTCACATATTAGAGGTAACAAAAGCAAACTAAATTAGCTGTTCTGATAGAATAAGTGATATTTGAGTGAGTTTTGTCATGAAGACAAGTGAACAGTTACGTAAGAGGCGCTTCTAGTGTTGCAGGTGTTATTGGGAGTCTACAAAGTACTGCACGCACAAAAATTTTGTGTTGCATTTTCATGAGCATTAACTTAATTTTCCTGATTTTTTTTTTTTAAGGTCAGTCTTTTTAATATCTCTGATGTAAAAAGTCAAAAGAACTAGTAAGAAATGATAAACAGCTAAAAGCTGTGAGCAGCGTAAGGAAATCTGTGGCAGATTATCTTGCTATTATGTTTTTAAAAGATTGACATGGGTAGAGTCACATACTGAGTTTTTACAGTTAAGTAACCTGGATTTTATACTGAATTACCATCAGAATGAGCAGTTAAGTTCTGTGGTCTTATAAAAAGGAAAGTAGCTATTGCTGAGAAGTGCTGAGGGAATAGTATGTAAACTGTTGAAGACTGAGTAGTCATTAGAAGCTACAATCTGATTGTGTAATACAAGTGGAATGGGAACAAAGCAAGTATTCCCTTGTATTCCTAAACTGTGTATGGATTCAGTGGCTTTATTATTTAGCTTTTGACCAATAATTTATAATCAGTGCCTTGAATTCACTGATGACTTAAGTATTATTTTGGAAATTCTGATTTAAGACACAAAATGTAGTTGTACTTCAGTGTGAAAACATTGAAAATGCCTTATTTTTATTTTGCAAGTGTAATTTTTCATTACACTTTGTCGGCTAAGAGGATTTTCATCATTTAAGCATAGTTCTGTCAAGAGAACTAGCCAACTGCCTACTGATAAAACATAAAACCATATTTCAGAGTAGTAAAAGCTGTTTGTATTTTTAATGGTAAAGAATCTCTCTTAAAAGAGCTTATTAGACTGTAAACCTGTAGTATTTTGTTGCCCGCTTGTCATAACTTGGAAGATTTTATTAGATATTGAAAATAAGCCGATCTTCACCTGAATATCATCTTCTTTCTAGCTTTCTATTAGTAAGTGTCCAGTAAGCTACAAGAACTAGGATGTCTTCTCAAGATGGTGGTAAAGCTCTTCATTAAATAAGAATTAAATCAGGCAATAGACACTTAATTAAAAACTAGCTCAGCAGCAGTTGGAACAAATCTGGAAAGTTATTAGATTTTTCAGGTTATATCAGGAATGGCTAGGAGAATAAAAGTTCCTCTGTATGATCAAGGTGATAATAGTTATGTCACCTGGCATTACTGCTTCTATAATTATTTTCCAACTCTTAAATCACTAGGAATCATGTAGTTTTATGTTTGTTTTTTTTTTTCTCTGAGCGTTTTTAAGAACTTAAACAGTGTTAATTCTCCATTTCTATCAATAATGTCAAATGTAGTACATAGTGTTACATTAAGAGAGACAATTTACCAGTTATCCCATTACAGTGTTTGGTTAAATAAAAAAAATTAAGAAATTAGAACAGTGCTGTGCACAGTATTAACATTCACTAGTTCCTGAAATCCTTTGTATCTTTGTCATTCGTTCTACTGAAGAAGGATGAGATATATATGTATTTTTTTCGTTATGAAGTTGATATGAGTTTTTTAATAATGAAAGCCAGTGTTTAAGGCCAAAATATGCAAAAAAGTGACGTTATAGTAGAATAATTTTGAAGATGTAGAAAGGGCACTTGGGGATCCTGAACCACACAGTATTCTAATATTGAGAAGGCTGCTTAGCTGGCAGTTCTAGCAGACAATGTAACTAACTGCAGGGTACTGTTCATGGCCAGTCTGAATAGTTTATTGTTCTAATTCAAATAAAAATGATGCTTATTCAACATTGTAACTCCAAGGACCCATGTTTTCATGTGCTGGCAAATGAGAGACATGCTGAGCTGTTTCCACAGTGATTGTGTTTTGTGATGACATGAAGATGTCTTACAGTTCTTTGAAGTATGTCTAGCTTCAAGGAAGGCTGAAACAAAGTAACTTCACCAGAGATGCTGTGGTCGCAATTTGGCCATGGGACACAGAAGCCCCTTGCATCTGTGATACACAATTTGGACGTAGCTGGATTATACAACTATATCACACTGAAACTCATGTGTGCACTCTTTTCCATTTTGTCTATCTATTGGGGAGGGGCACAAGATCAGAAGGGATCTCAGGAGGTTTGAATAATCAGAAGACCAGTGCTTCAGGTGATCTGCACATGCCCTGCGTTACAGAGGTGAACTGCTAGCTACTCACACTGAATTACAGGGTTGTGTCATGTATAATGTTATGTGGATTTGACACCACATTTATTTAACTCTTTTAGTTGAATCTAACTGATAAATCTTGCAACTTACATTGATACTGCACCATAAAACACCCACGTCAGCCCAGTCTTTAAACATGTGCTTAATTTGCAGCCTTGTGATTAAGGTTGTGGACTGGGACACTGAAGAGCTGGGTTCAGTTCCTGCTCTAGTACAGTCATCCAGTGGGATACAGGGTAAGTCACTTAGGCCCCGATTTTTTTGAGCTGTTTAGGCTTGTCTCTGCTCAGCTATGCAACACCTGTCTAATTAAGACCTCAGGTATCATTTACAGTAGTCTTACACTAATTAAAAAACTATGTACTGTTGGCTTTCAATTAATTGTATGACCGAATGTTTAAAGATGGTGATGCCAAAGCTTCTCATTTGCAATGTGACTTTACAGTATACTTCTGTCTCACAGAATTTTTGAGAGAATGCTGATGATAAATCAGTGGTATTTAATGGTATTATTTGCATTATATATTCATAAGACAGAGAGTCCCCCTCATTTTGGAATGTCGTTGTTACTCTATTCCTCAGTTTTCCTCAAGTTTACTTCCTTTTGTCTCTGTTGTCTCTTTTCATAGTAGAGTAAATTCTTTATGTTCTTTACTGAAGTGGAATGTAACTGCTACCTCAGTAGAAATAATACTTCAGTTGACAGTCTATACTGTGCTGAAATGGGTAGATAAACCGTGATGTTTGGCTTTATGAGGGAGTATTGTAACCTTAAAACCTCATTGTTCAGAGCCTGGCATTTAGGCTTTGACCAAATGCTGCTCAGGCAATATCATTGCATATCATATTATCATGCCATGAAAATAAAACACGAGGAGCTGTTTCATTCTTAACAACAGTCCACAGACTGTAAGGTAAATAGGACTGATATTATTTGTCTGGTCCACCTGTAGTTTTTCTCAGATATAGTTTCCTCTGTCTTTTTTCCTACTGTTCTTAGACTCATGTCTGTAGTTACTCCATGCATAGGATCTTTGGAGTATCTTTATAATGGAAGGTGATGTTCAATTTGTGCGTATTTCATGAAGAGCAAAATAGCAAGGGAACATAAATAGGAGTGGATGGTACTAGAACATCTGAGGCCTCCTGCACAGTTTAGGAAAGTTTAACTTTACTAAAATAAACCATATTCCATGAGAAAGCTTTCTAAGGGCATGGAAATAACAGTGCATTTTGATAGACAACTAAAAAAGCCCTAGAAAGTTGATGCTAGATGAAGAAACTTGAAGTAGGGCTTAGCTGGAGTTGAGAATAAACTCCCAAATTGGTTTTTGAACTTTGCTCAGCTTCTCTCTCATCACAGAGATGAGTAGACTGATTGTACAGCTTAATAGCTATGAGTCTAAGCTTCTGAGGTCTTCAGATCTTTGCTTTGTAGCTTGCTTTGGCATGCCACAGTCCGCATCTCTCAAGTGCTTTTCTTTAGCCTTACGGTGGTTGCAGTCAAAAGCCCCTTGAGTTAGGTGGCCAGCACAGTGCTCTGTTTTGCAGCATAAGACGCAGGCATTTCAAAATTAGGTGCCACACTGTTAATTGCTGGTGCCTGAATGTTTTGTTAGCTCTAGTCCTAAATACTTTGCAACAGCAGTGAGGAAGTTAGGCTCTGAACTTATCCATACACTAAGTGCATGGTCATATTTGCTTGCAATTAGTTTTACTGAAAGAAATGGAGATAAGTTGTGAAGTTAGAATTGTATGTGACCACTTCCTGGGAATAAGACCTTGAAAAAAGGATTTGTTTTATGTATACATGTCTAACAGTGAAGTAACAAGTTATATTTTCCTATACGTCTTTAAGAAGAGTTTGTGAGTACTGCAAGATCTGGATCTACAATACTCCCATTTCATTTCCACCTCATGTCTCTAGTCTCTGTCTGGAGCCTGGTAGAAAAAGGCTGATATATTTTCCTTGCTTAGCTGGATAGAATCATTATTCTGTACATTGTGACATCCCCTTTCTAAGCATCTGAGGTTCACATGGAGAAATCAACAGGACGATCTTCTGAAACTGCTTAAGATTGGATGAAAATGAGAATGTTGTATGCACACTATGTTCTGTATTTCCTTTGTAAGTTCAGTCTTGCTGTTCTGTTAAACATCAAGGTGTAGAGTTTTTTAAAAAATGCTGATCCAGTTCCTGATTGCATCACTATATCTCTAAAAAGTTTGGTCAAATGCCCAAAATTTCACACAAGCAAACAACTAGATGAGATAACTTGTTTGCAGAAGATTTGCCTTAATATGTTACAGTGCTTTAGAAATTCGACGTCTCTGGGCTTTTTGTGTCTTACAAGGTTCAGGTAAAATTAATCTTTGCATGTGATGACAAAAGCTTTCCAGTGAATGTCACTAATTAAAACTCAAAGCTATTTGAAGGTTTCAAATTTGTTGTGTCAAGTTCGGACGCTTCCTCCTCTCACTCTGACTTACACTTTGTTCCTTTCATAGGTGCCTATCTTGTGCCATACTTAATCTTGCTACTGATAATAGGGATTCCACTTTTTTTCCTGGAGCTTGCTGTGGGGCAGAGGATCCGCCGAGGGAGTATTGGAGTGTGGAATTATATCAGCCCTAAACTTGGAGGAATTGGATTTGCAAGCTGTGTAGTAAGTTTTTAATGTTAATTGTGTGGTTTGCTTTCAGTCTGTATGATTTAGACTTAATGTTTTGCTGCAGCAAAAAGCCATTGAGATGATTTGTAGCTGGGCTTCAGGGTTGGTTGACAAGTGTTTTGGGAGATGTTAAAACTTAAATTAGTACATTAAAAATAGTAATGCAGACACATCTGTAAAATGAGTCAACTTTTATTTTGTGATTCTTTTCAAATTAGGAACTAGGCAACAGAGTAGTCTTCTGGAAAAGAAAAGCCTGTAAAGATAGAGGTGTCACACGATAAATACAGAGAAAAGTGAAAATTTAAAAAATGTCAGGTACTTTAATGGGGCAAGCCATTCAATTCTTATTGTGACTTAATATAGTTAAAATTAGGTTCACTGGCTGGTATGCAGAAACATGCAGAAGTTCAGTAGGTTTTTTTTAATTAACAATATATGTATTTACTAAATACGTATTTAGTAAATGTAACTCTTTATGTCTTTTTTCTTATAGGTATGTTTCTTTGTGGCCCTGTACTACAATGTTATTATTGGATGGAGTTTGTTCTACTTTTCCCAGTCTTTTCAGCATCCATTACCATGGGACCAGTGTCCTTTAGTTAAAAATACATCTCATACCTGTAAGTCTATATTATTGTTATTAAAAATTATATAAAATATATAAAATTTGAGAGTTTCAAACAAAAAGGAGAAAAAAATAAATACAATGTAAAGGGATACTTGTGAGGAAAAAGTGTTCTATGCAAAGCTGCTTTTGCATCTTAATAAGATGTCACATTAAGAAACCTAAGATAAATATACTGTATCTGGAAAGCAACATCACTGTCAACAGCATTTTAAATTGTAATGAAATTAGGATAGTGCTCTTTAGTGTGTTGTAGGAAAAAAAAAAGAAGTTCTGATTACTTTTTTTCTGATTTTGGTACTGCTTTTTTTGCTTGCTTGGTGACAAAGCAAGGTGGAGGAAGGATAGTTTTACATTTCAGTTGGTAGGATACTCCCTGGTGACAAAGCAGTAAGTGTTGCATTTGTAACAAAGCAGAAAATGGAAAATTGTAAACATCAATGAAATGCTTGTGAAAAGCATTGTTTGCTTTGTAAACTAATAGAAATTGGTTAATTGGTGATTGGTTTGTTGCTACAATGAGATGGTCTGAAAAGGACATATACAACAGCATTAAAATTTCCTAATCCCTTGGTTTTGCCTGTCTTGTAATAGTTATATACTTTGCATTATTCCTGCTCTTGAAATAGGAGATATTTCTTTTGTTTTATTTCCAATCTTAAATTTTCTTTACTTACCTTTTGTGGGGTTTTTTACCCCCTTAATAAAGGACATAATCAGAGACATTTGAAAAGTTGTACGTTTTTATAGTGTCTTCACTGGAGTTGCTTGCTGCAGTTGTTTGAAATAATCAGTATATGTGAATGTTGGCAGACAGCCAAACTGACTTTATTTCACAAGCTGTTGTCCATTAATCAAGCCACAGTGCTTGTTTACATCCTGCCTAAATATTAAGATACAGTGTGTCAGCCTAACTTACGCAGAGGTCATCTCAATTAAGCTTAAACGTAGAAAACTGGTATATTTGATAACATCCTGTCATTTTTTGGCAGTTTATTTCAGTGAAGATCTGATACCTGTGCTAGGTTTCTTAAAATGTTGTGTGGGTTTGTATTTTTTTTTTTTAATTAAGCAACCTTGACTCAGAACCTAACTTAGAGATACGATTGATTGTCAGGTGCAAAGGATTTATAAAAAAGTTAAGTAAATACTTTTTTTGAAGAATTCTTTCTATTCCTATGTGTTATATTTAGATTCACACAATTTGTTAAAACTGTTCGGTAACGACTAAAACAGAATTACACTGTAATAAAAAAATGACTTCTGGAATACACATAGCAACTTCCATTTAACATAGCTGTGTAGAAGCCGCAGCTTTTCCTTTTCTCATCACTTTAGTATCATGTTATTTTATCGTTTATAATAGTAATTAAGTGCCTGTTGATTTGAGTATCATATCAAAGCAGACACCATTGGGAATTCGCTTTCCATATATTTTCAAAACTAATACAATTCGCTGTTCAGAGAGATACTTTTTGTAGTATATAAGTCACAGTATCATACATAGGTAATCTTAATCTTATGTGTGATAAATGGAATGTTTGCCTTCATCTAGGCCTTCCTACTATTTAGTACTTAAGTGAAAATTAAATTCTGCTGAGGGCTTGGATTGACCATATGCAGAGGAATACATTATCCCAAAAGGGTGTTTTAAAAAGATGTACCAAGAACCTTTCACTGATAGCAGTCACTTTTAAAGAATGACTTAAGACTCTTGTAGTTTAGTTTCTCAGTAAACTATGGTGGCACAATTGGAGATTTTGGGAATTGATACAACATTGTCATGAAATATTGGGAAGACACTTCTGTCCTGAACCCATTCTTTACTTGCTAACATCTCTTGACAGTTGTGGAGCCAGAGTGTGAAAAAAGTTCTGCAACCACCTACTACTGGTACAGAGAAGCGCTGAACATTTCCAGCTCTCTGTCCGAGAGTGGGGGTTTAAATTGGAAGATGACTATCTGCTTGCTGGCTGCCTGGGTCATGGTATGCCTAGCCATGATCAAAGGCATTCAGTCTTCAGGCAAAGTGAGTATACTGTTTACCTAAATGTCAGTGTTTTACTTTGAAACATTTCACGACATTTTTGTTCACCACACCCTCGGTTTACTCTCTCATAAAATCTGTAGGAGCAGGTTAGCAGCTGTGACTCACCTCAATATTTGTATAGTCTCAAGTAGAGGAATGTTACTAGTTAAGCATTAAAACTGACGTGGTTTTAGTGGGAATTGTAGTAATTTAGTGGGAATGGAGATCTGAAGAATCATTTCTGTTCTCGTTAAAATGACTGTTGCAAGTAACTGTACCTCAGCTTTGTTGAATTGTTAATGCAGCATAAGTCTCTGTTTCTGAATGTTTGAGGAATTAGGTTCCCATGTATACTCAAAGTATGATTGCAGTGCACTCAGATGTTCACAATTCCAGGGCATTATTCTTTATATTGTTGCTGCAATTGGTATCCATTCTTCTGTCACTAACACAGCTGCTCTTCAGGATTCTGGATTGTTTCTTTTGACTAATGACTAACTATCCCTTTGCATCTGAGTCCATCACCTTGTCTTCTTTCCCTGTAGCCAGCTGCGTTGGTTAGTGAATCGTTTGCTTGCTCTGTTGGTCCCAATGAGACTTTCAGATGAAAAATTATCTGTTCTAATAGTGAAATTCTTTGTGTTTAAAAGATCTGGCACTGAGGTGGAAACTTCTGTGACATCTTTATCGTGTATTTCAGTTAAAGAAACAATAGCAAGTTTACCAAGAGAATCAATTTACTAAACATTAAATCACGGAATAGGTTTGTTTTCATTCACAATGGAGAATAAAAGATTGTATTTGACTACTAAGTTTTTATTTACCCTTTGTATTAGATAAATGAGCCAATCAGTGTGTCAGAAAGGTATTCTGTTATACAAGTGTTGAAGTGATACAGGAGTCTGAAAGTGGCTTCACAAAGCATGCTGCTTCAGCATGGAAAGCTGTGCAGCACTGTGCTCGGGATTCTGACAACTTCATGGCATTTTGTTGTACATTAGTGAGTGCACTATTGCTTTTTAGTTTTTATGGCCCAAACCTACTACATCCTTAATAATTTCTGTAGGACAAGAGCGTATCTCCAGCTTTCTTCTGTTTTGGCAGTAAGAGTTAGTGGTTTGAATCCATTGGTTAGATACTTGCCACTTACTCTGTCTTCTCTCTTTCTGAAGAAAGAATGAGTTTCTGTTCACACAGTTTATCTTTACCATACTACGTACTTGAATCAAAGTGCATTTGTAAAGTGAAGGATTTCTAAAACAGTCTGCTTCTGTCCTAGTTGTCATCTCATTAAATTCATACGGAATTTCCCTGGAAGCTCAGTAGTTTATTATCTCTTAGTCAACACAATGGCAACTGTATTGTTTTAATACAGTACAGAATTTATTTTACAGTCATGTGATTTTTGCTTTGTTCTGCAGAGACAAGAGGAATGGGAATTGTTCTGCTTATTTCTTAAAAGTGTATGATTATCAATTCATATAGTGAGTAATGAATGAAGCCATTAAAAATAAAGTCTGTGGCTGTCATGTTAAATTCCTTTTTAATGTTTTACAGATCATGTATTTTAGTTCCCTTTTCCCCTATGTCGTGCTTTTATGCTTCCTGATCAGAGGGCTGCTCCTTAATGGGTCAGTGGATGGAATTCGTCACATGTTCACACCTAAGGTACGTGCTTTATTTCTGTTTGCAGTGTATTAAAGTTTAAGTGGCAATTTGACCATTTATGAATGCTCTCATTTAAGCTTATTGTTTTCATAGAACATTTCACCATTTTCCTGTTTGGTTAAATTGCAAAATGCTTGACCTCAATGGCACAATATCAAGCCCTAAGGTCCAAAGGCTCTAAGTGTTCTAAGTGTCTGTGTAAAGTTACCTCCCTTAGGTGACAAGTTCACAGGGTTAGATGCCTTTACAAAGCTAAGCAACTGAAGATGCCTTTTCCAGCATTTAGGATGTTTAGAAAGCTCCAAATAATGAAGAGAAGTGAATCTTAAATCTAGCTATTCTCTGGGATTGAAATGCCTAGTTCTGGGATGTTGCAGGGAAATGCCTTACCCTGAATGCAGTCATGGATTTATTTACTTAACTAACTTGTCCCTTTTGAAAGAGCTCAGATTTGTCCCTTTTTAGAAACAAAGCTGTTTGCATAGTAGCCCAGAAGTACATGAGATTTGTCTTCAATACTCGGCTCATCTTATAAAAATAGTGTTAGTACTCACCATTCAGCTTTCCATAACATGTTCCTGATGGTTAACATGCAAGATAGCCACAGGTTTAAGCATTTTTTTTTTACTGTCAGCATTTTGACCAGGAATGTGTCTTACAGAACTTTAGATTTTTTAACTACGGTGGTGAGAAGGGATGTTACGAATCATTATTTAGCCTGAAGATCTAAATTCTACCCACACCCATCTCAGATGCTTGTAACTATACTACAGGAATAGCATGTCTGAGTAGTTAGAGCCATACTTGCTCAGGAATGCATAATGCTGGGCTTCATATTGTATTATTATTGTATTATGAAATACTGTATATCATTTCAAACAATACTGAAACATAATTGTATTATGTTTGAAATGAAATATTATATTATGAATTATTGTATTATGACTTTCCACCAAGTCAGTTTCATAATACAGTTCAGCGGAACAGAACTGATGTTTCAAAAATGAAGGCCAAATAAGTTGATTAAAATCAATGCACATAGTGGCTAATGCCAGATGACAAGATGTTGTCAGTTGTTTGGATTCAAGGTGTTTTGAGTCTGTGAAGAACTGTCATTCTATAAAAATGACCTTTCCTAGCTATCACATTGTTATTTCTCCCATTGTGATACGCAGTTGTGCTTGCTGTCACCGCTTTATAGAGTCCTGGTTCTGCAGGAACTTGTAATGTGTTTGGGAAAATTTGGGGAAATCTGAGGGACAGAGAAATGTAATGCTTATTGTCAAAGACAAAGTTTATAGCAGAGATGGAATACAGACCTCTTGAAGTTACAATTTTGTTTCTCAACATAGTATTAATCCTTTCTTTAACTGTAGAAGTACCACTAGATTCTGAGGGAAAGTAAACACTGCAACTCCCTTGGAATGCCAGCACCTGTTCACCCTTCACTATGTCATCTTTCATGAATTAGACCTAAAATAAACTGCAGCTGATGTTTACTTTATAGTTACTTTATATCTTAATCATACAGCTGCTTCAAGTGTTCAGATAAACAATCTTGAAAAAAAAAAATTTATTTAATTTCTTCTACTGGGTTCCAGTTCTGTATCTCAGGATTTAGGTTGCAGTGTAAACTTGAGGTTAGGAGGCCTATATATCACATACAGTATATGTGAATATAAACCTTCAAAAGTATTTTCATTATAATCTGTGATTGTTTCTGTACTTGAACACTGATTTGGACGTAGGTTCATAGGAAACTACCTGAAGGATTTCAGACTCCAGGAGGAATTCAACCTGTTGCTGTTCCTGTTTGCTCCATTGTGATGACAGTTTATTTGGGCAGGCAGACTGTAAAGAGGATTGCCGAACGCATCTAGGTTGAAAATAATCCAGGTAGATACACATGAAAGGGGAGGGGGAGTTCAGCAAATGACCCCATATTGACCACAGACGTTCCAACACATTCCCATACTACAGCTGTGTAAGCTCACAGTGACTGCCACACATGGGTACAGGTATGAGAGCAGAGGGCTAAGGAAGAAGGGGAGAATTTCTCCCTTTTGCATGGTTGATGAACGAAGCAGAAATTCTAAATAATAACCTTAATGAAAAACATAAAGAAAGGTATATGGAAAGTCCACTGAAGGGAACTACTACAATGAAACTGTAGGACTGTAGGAAGCTTAAATACAGACCTCCCAAAATTTCACAGAAAATATCTTATAATAGCAAATCAATTACAAGTTTATTTTGAACTCCTAGGCACTGTGTACCTGAGAATGTATACCTTTGATAATACCAAATGATATATTGCAGAAAGCGAGAAGTGTTTTGATACTTAGACTATTTAGAGTCAGTAAAATTAAGACTATTCCTCGAGCTCCCTCTGGTGGAAAAGCTCTAGCGTGACAGTGCGGTACAGGCAAATTCAACTGTGCAATAGCTACTTGTGCATTGTAATTATAACAATAATTATAACTCAGGAACAAGTCATTGTCATAAACAATTTTATTTTCAAATATGTTATATTTTAAAGTTACGTAAAAGACTGGAAAAGGTATCTGCTACCTATCTGTAATGAATATTATACCTATGTGGGAAACTGGAAAATTTTTCAGAATGTTATCGTAACAGTAGCAGATATTTATTTTTACTTCCCTCAGAGTAAGACAGTCAGGCTTCTGATGGTGGCATCTATGTAGATGCTTTTTAGTTTTACTCTTTTCAATAAGCTTAGGGGTTAAAAAAACCCCAGCAGATAACCCCAGCACATTCGCAGAAGAAGTAAGGTCTGTCACTGTTAAATGAATGGACGTCCTGAATCAACTTCAGAAAATCTAGTGTTTCTATTTCATATGTAGATCTTTTTTTATGATTCAGTATCTAGAAGGACCCGAGATAGACAGATGATGACTCATAACTTTAAGAAAGATATTTCTTGAAGTATGATCATCTGAAGGAGCAGTACAGTTAAATTTTTTGATAAAAGCCTTAGTTGTCCCTCAAATACAAGACCCATTTAACTTCAGGTAAGTTCAAGGCATCTAGCTTAAGGGAGATTTGACTCGTGGACTATACAGATTGTGGTGGCCAGCCTTTATTTCTTGTGTTGCATTTTGCTTTACATACTTGCATGTAATAGAATTAGGCATGTGTATCTTATGGTGAATTTCTAAATTTTTTAAAGTGACAACAAAACAACTTTCAGCATGCGTACTACATTTATAAGAGGGTTGATAATCTCAAAATAAATCTGAATTCTAACAACAGATAATACGTGTGCTGTAAAAAGAAAAGACAGTAAATACTGTAAAAAACACCCAGATATTGCCTCTTATTTCACAGTATAACTAGCTGCTAGTGCAGTTACTGTATAGCTCCAGTAGAGTCGCGTTGTTGGGAACATACTCTATTTCTCTTTAAGGTTTTAATGTATTAAATCAGTAGAAATTATGGCCCATAAGTTTGCTCAACTTTAGGTGTCACATTCAGCTTTCATTGTATCATAATGCAAATATATTTGTAGTGGAGTATTAGCATTTTGTGATGTAGGTTGTCTTCCTGTTTATTTTTTTCTGTTGTCTTTTCATATAATAGAAATGCATTTTATAGCTGACATATATTATATCTAATTTCAAACAGCTTGAAATAATGCTGGAGCCCAAGGTCTGGAGAGAAGCTGCTACTCAGGTGTTCTTTGCCTTAGGGCTTGGATTTGGTGGAGTCATTGCCTTTTCAAGCTACAACAAGAGAGACAACAACTGCCATTTTGATGCTGTACTGGTGTCCTTCATCAATTTTTTCACTTCTGTGCTGGCGACTTTGGTGGTGTTTGCAGTTCTGGGCTTCAAAGCCAATATCATAAATGAAAAATGTGTTATCCAGTATGAATATCCATTTTTTTTTTCAATTATTTTTATGGTATATTTCATTTATGAGTTAAAACAGATCATCAAATTTGATTTCTCTATTTTATTGTGTTTTACAGAAATTCAGAGAAGATTTTAAAACTTTTGAAAACAGGCAATCTGAGCCAAGATATGATCCCACATCATATCAATTTCTCAAGCATTACAGCAGAAGATTACAATTTAGTTTATGATATTATTCAGAAAGTTAAAGAAGAAGAGTTTGATTCTCTTGGCCTGAAATCTTGTCAAATTGAAGATGAACTTAATAAGGTGAGAGCAATAAGTATGTCTTAAATACAGAGCTTGTAAATGGATGAATATTTGTTAAACCTGAAATAAACTGTGAAGTCCACTTTCATGGAGTATCAGTACAGTGTGCCTATGAGCAGCGCACCTATAGAGATCCCTGTCAAAACAAAGTTCTGTGCGGGGCTGCATTCCAGCTTACCTGAAGACTTTTGGGTCTGATGTTTTAATAAGTCTTCACTGATTTGTAATATATTTTGATCATTGTATCATTCTCTTCAGGAGGTGATAAGTTTTTAAAGTTCTTTTTTTCACAAGAGTTCAGCGTGAGGACTCTTCCAAATGCTGAACAGAGGTATACCTGTACATCTCCAACTATGATGTCTTCTAATGTTAAGATACCATTATTAAATTTAGGTACTAGTTCACTAGAAAGTAAAAGAAGTTATTCTTTACTTATTTGGTCATTGTTCAATGAATATAATCCTGGTTTGAAATCTTACAATATTACACTAAGCCAGACCTGTAAAAGAAATTTTTCTAGCTTTTTCAGGCAGACCTCCAGTTTTAAACATTGACCTCTATGTAGTGGCATCAAAATCTGAAGCTAAAATGTCAAATCAGTGACTTAGACATTAAAAGTTTCTATATGATTCCTGCCATTTGAATTTGAAACAAATAGATACAGAAAAGAACTCCTTTACTAGAGAAAACAGTGTATTTTGTAGGAGTCCTGTATAAATAGCTCATGCAAAATTGTCAGTGAAAGAAAGACGTGTGTTGTTAATACTAATCAACTTACAGATTCTCAGCCAAATCAAATATTGCAGTAAATAGTGTTAATTAAGTTTGCAGGTTTGGAAGAATCACATTTTAAATAGCAGTTTCCCACTCTAGCTTTAAGATTTAGTCAATGCTATTCCATGAAAATGAAGCCAGACTGTCACAGTACAAAAAAAGGAAAAACCAAACTGTCCATGAATAATAATGTGGATTTTTTTCTCACTGACAGGCGGTTCAAGGAACTGGTTTAGCTTTTATTGCCTTTACAGAAGCAATGACCCACTTCCCTGCTTCTCCCTTCTGGTCAGTCATGTTCTTCCTCATGCTGGTAAATTTGGGACTTGGAAGCATGTTTGGAACCATTGAAGGCATCATCACACCCATTGTTGATACCTTCAAAGTCAGGAAAGAAGTTCTTACTGGTGAGTTGCACAAACTTTCTTTTCTCACTAGAGCAATAAGATAAAGATTTTTTTTTGAGAGTGTGAAGTCTTGGGTTTTGACATGAAAGTTTGCAGTGCTGGTGTTTTACAGAGCAGTAAATCACTGTATTCCAGACTGTACTTCTAGGCACAGGCACATTAATACCTACACGAGCAGGAGCATTCTTGAACTTAAGTTTTAATGGAAATTAAAGTTACAGGTTTCTGTGTGGTCAGTCCTGAGCTCTTACAGAATGCTTTCCATTCCAGCCTGTGTCACAGATCAGGGAAACAAAGCAAAAGGAAAGAATGAAAATACATTGCAAATTACTATACATTATTCCTCAGTAGGCCAGTGAAATACTAATTTATGATGAAATGTTTACTATGTTAAAAATCAGTACAGTTACTCTCCAGAGGAATATATTTTTCCCTGTTGAATGTGGGTCTTAAACAAGATGTCTATTTGTTTTGTTTTCTTTTTTTTTAATGCCTAAAGTTATGTGAGGTGTAGCCTGTTCATGTAGCTCTCATTGTCTTGTTTTAGTTTTTCTTTTTGATCTAGAACATCAGCATAAAATGTGGAAGTTAGGTTTTGGAAAATCTTCAGGACAGCTGCAAGGGACTTAGGTTCAAATTCGTATTTCATATCCATACCTGTGACAGGAAGGATAAAACATAAAAAATTTAATAAGCTGCTTTAACATCATCTAACTTTATGTAGGAAATAATTATATATTTTCTAAGAGGTAACCCCGATACAGCACACCACTTCACTTTCTTGACTACTGAATACTTTGATAATAATCATAGAATCATAGAATG